CTTTTTCAACGACTCCGAATAATCTGACAATTTTGACAGAGAAGATAAAACTTTTGATTCTTGACCTCATGGTTTTTGTAATACAAAACAACCAAAAATTTCAGATAGAACTTTGTTATTCGATATGTCTCTTTTTACAATGGCCTATAGCTGAGTCTTAATGAGCAGTTAATATAATAGTAATTGTAAATGTTTTATGCCCCTATCAACACATTTTAGAATATTCAAGAGGCACGCTGTCTTAACTTCAACCCTGCCTGTCAGGGCAACTCGAGCTGGGAAAGATATCTATTCAAAGTCCGAGTAGAAAGACTGAGATTCTATAAAAATTCTCTTCACATGGAAATTGAACTTACGACTTCTATTTGTGATGGCAAAGTACCTAACTGTTATACCACATACCGATTTACTTGTCTATATCAGTTTGTCCAGATTTTAAAAAGCAACAAAGAAGACTGCAGATGGACACCAGTATTGTGCAGCAGAACTTTTAAAAAAGAGTATTGAAAAAAACAACAACATGCCATTCTGCGATATTCTTCAGCAGAGAGATTGTGTTCTGTAACATAGCATTGTGCTATAAATATGTATCAACTGGTTTATATCAGGGCTGAGAGTTTTGTTAACAAAGCATTCTAAACCATGAGGATGTATATCCCAAAAGAGTTTTGACAATGTGTCATAGGCCAAGCTAAAGAAATGGTGAAATAGTATAATTGAACGCCCCAATCAACAGTTTCAAATTACTTAAAAGGCGGACCTCTGAGTTTAACGTCCAACTCCGAAAGGACCGAGCCAAACTCAATATTCATGTAAAGTGTCGCTCAAAAAGACACAATTCCAGACCAAGTAGAGGCTCGAACTCCCGAACCCATAAGCTCACGATCACAGGTGCGGTAGCCTAACCACTAGGCTACCGACCGTTTTACAGAGGAGGGTGTTTGCATGTAGCAATAAGTGCTGTAGCTTCACACCCAGTTCGGTCAGACGCTGCTGAGTTTGACGGAAACCTTTTCAATATATATATATATATATATATATATATATATATATATTATATATATATATATATATATATATATATATATATGTGTGTGTGTGTGTGTGTGTGTGTATGTATGTGTGTTCATGTGTTTAGTCTGTTTTTAAGTCTGTGGCTGCAGCGGGGAACAGCGACTGCTGACGTCATTTTACCGGGGAGCAGAGACTAGTATTTTACTATATTTCTTTGTTACAGTCTATCTTGGTGTTATCACCAACAGTATCGAATACAGCTAGACTAGATATGTTACATTTCGTCTCAATTTTCAAGTTTTAAAAAAGGGCTTAGTTGGACAAAAGACTGGCTTTAAAAATGAAGTTTGTTCACTCACACTGTTGTTACGAGATTCTTTTTTGTTTTGTTTTCGTTTTGGTGTGTGTGCTGCTGTGCCTTTTTTGGGGGTTTTTTTGTTGCTTTTATAAAATCACAGTCTTTAGTTCCATCTTGATTAAACTTAATTGCTTGCAAAATGATGTCCATAAACATTCATGGGATCTGTAGGTCTCTAAAACTCAATGAAGAGAATAGCAGTGTCTTTCGATCAGGTTGCCATACTGTACACTCACTGTACAGTGACAGTGACAGTGACAGTGACAGTGACAGTGACAGTAACAGTGCAGTGTGCAGTGTGAAATCTTAGCAGATGTAACGTCAGATGCACAATGCAATGGGTGACCTCGATACACGATTTCAAATTCAAAATTGACAATTCAAAGACAAAGTTTACTAAAGTTTTGATACATGGCATTCAATCAGATTCTATGCAAGCCACTTTGCTTATTTTAATACCCTAATACCGAAAATGAAATCTGTTTTTAGCAGCAAAGTTTAATCCCGCACAACAGCAAAGTTCAAAGGGATTCTGCATCACAGCTCACCTCTCCCAATTCCGACTGAAGGAGTCTGTAACCAGATTAGTTAAAACTGACAGTTGTCCTTCCTTGCTGTGATATAAAACTACTACACGATGCAATCTTGATAAAATGCTTCTTTTTTTTTTTGTGATCTTCTAAATTCAACAAGAAAAAAGTCACCCACAAGTCCTTTCGTTAATTTTGATATGCTGGTTCGAATTTGATATTATTTTTACGAAAGAAGGCAGCATTTAAAAAGTTTGTAAACAAAATTTGTTGCTGTTGGTGGGCTGCATCGATAAAATGATCAATACCACCAAGATGAGGTATTCGCTTAGCGCAGTCGCTGTTCCCGGGTGCTCTGAAGTCTTTTTTTTATTCGGTAAGTGTTTTACGGCACTGGAAACTGCATAAGGTCATATGAGCAAGTGGAACACATTAAACATTTTCAGTAGGTAGGAAATATTGAATTTAGCGTGGGTCGTCGCCGAAGCCTACTCTTATCAATTTTGGACCACCAAGAGATCTTTAATGTGCGCAACATGCGCATGGGACCTCCGATCTCCGAAGTCTGTGATTAAGCAGCACAATCAAAAGTACAAAGGGAGAGAAATGTTGAGAATTGAAATGTGTTTCTGTTTTTTGTCGAATAATTCGAGTGCTCAGAGCTTATATGTGTATGGGATAGAGTACTAAATAAACTTGTAATATTATTATTACACCTATTTTTATTATTGTTATCATTGTTTCAAACTTAGAAACATAAGTGTGTTTTAATGAGCACTGATATAAATATTATAACAACAGAGAGCATATCACTGAGACCAGTAAAAACTACAATACGGCATTGGGTCTAAGGGCATATGCCTTCCAGTTGCTGGGTCAAATTCAACAACAGCATTAACATTAACAACAATCATAATAATATTATCAACAAAAGCAACAGGGTACTACTTTGCTGTACGCCTATAAAAAAAAATGCCCAGTGGGTTTGCGAAAATAGGACATTGTTTACCCAAAAGGTACAAATATTTTAATACTAGTGGTACCCTTGTTTTATGGTAAACAAAATTCTTTTTAAGCTATACCACAGTAAAATGTCCAAATTTTTTTATCTTTTTTTTTTTGTATGATATGATTTACCAGGAAAAAGCAAGCAAATGATATAACTAAAAAGTACATGGTAAAACTATTGCAAAAACTTAACAATAGGAGATTGTGTGGGATACTTGAACTTGAAACGAAAAAAATAATACATAGCAGAAAAAGAAAGATGAAAACAAACAAAAGAATAAAGATCATTGAAAGCGGCATCACAGAATTAAGGCAAATTTCAATATGAATACAAATTTTGATCAAACACGACACTAGACATCAAACAAGATGGTAGTGGCTTTCTATTCTTACTCTTTTCATGTTTGCTTGTTTGAGTAAAGAGAAACAATGAGGACAAAGGTGAGCATTATTATAGTACATATTACCTTTGCATTGTAGGCCTACATCGCAGAGAGCTTTCTAGGGATTAGATGCTATTTAAATTCCAATTATTAATATTGTTATCTTACAAGATAAACAACAGTATATATGTCTCTGAATAATTAATAACAAAAACAGCTATATCAAAATGAGAGATACATGACAGCGTTTCTTCCCTCCACCCCATGAAAAAAAGAGAAACAGGTTTCGAAATCATACTGCCACATGCGGCACAAAGAAATGAGACGTAGGGAAAACGTTACTTGTGACATTAAAATTAAAATACTTTCGTTTTTTTAAGAGAAGCACATTAACATAATAAAGGTCATTTAGTGCAAAGAAATGGTAGACAGACAGACAGACAGACAGACAGAAACAACAGGGAAAAGTAATTTTAAGTAAAGAAAGAGGGCTCCAACCACCCACTGACATAAAACAGATTGCTGTTGTTAAAAAGAACATGTTTGTTCGATCGCAGCTTACGAGGCAAAGGGAAATAACAAGAACAGTCTCAGGACAAGAGACAAAACATAAAAGTAGATTAGTTCCATCTGCTACACTAAAACATTCTCCGTTCTTGTAGCACTGTCATCACTATGGTAGCTTGCAGTATGCAGTATTTTACTGTGTAATTATCTGACAATAACCTTCTTTCAAATGCCAAATCAGTCGGCCGCAAACTGGACTTACTTAAACTCTTTCTTGATCGGTTAAGTCTTTAGGCGCAATAAGACAATTATATTAGCATTTTTATAGCGCACATCCACACTCTACAGCATGCTCTTTATGCTTTACCACTATTATTACTCCAGAAGACCCAAGAACACTCAGAAACATTCTCGGCTTCCGGGGAAACATACAGATCAAGGGAACATAGTACGTCGCTATAATACCAAAACAAAACCACACTCAAAAACTGCTTACAGATTTGTATACATTTCAATGAAAATGCCACAGTGTTAAAATCTGTTTCATTTGTTTATCTTCTGATCTGGCCAGTCTGAGCAATTTCAGTACAAAGAAGTTGAACCTGAACTTGTGACATTACCATTGATTCCTCTACTTCATCGTGCTGAGCCCACGCACTGAGTGCTGCGCTGAGCAAAAACCCATTTAACGCAATAGTATCTTTACAGGAGACAGGGAAAACTGAATCGTTATAATTTGTATCTTTACTGCCATTCCTGAATGAAATTTGAGAGCATTTTTATTAGGCACACTTTTAAATTTCCTTAGCAAACATATATATATATATATATATATATATAGATAGTAATTCATTCGTAATGAGGAGCACTATGCTGTAAGATGAAAACCTAAATAGTGGTTTATAGAAGCTTCGATTCAGCTGCTTTCTGTAAAACACCAAATAGAGATGGTGTGTGTGTGTGTGTGTGTGTGTGTGCGTGTGAGTGTGTGTGTGTGAGAGAGAGAGAAAGAGAGAGAGAGAGAGAGAGAGAGAAAGAGAGAGAGAAAGAGAGAGAGAGAGAGAGAGAGAGAGAGAGAGAGAGAGAGAGAGAGAGAGAGAGAGAAAGTGTGCGTGTGCATGTGCGTGTGTGGAAGGGGGTAGGAGTTTGTGAGGGAAATACGAGCGGATTGATCCGATGAAAAATCTCAAACACTGCATGATACTTCAATACTTCCCTTCATTAATCAATTCAAGTGAACATCAGTGGGAAGAGCTGTGGAGTCTTTGTGCAAGGCACGCTATATACACCAAGCTGAGTAGAACTAGAACATAGGTACAGTACAACTGTTATTTACAAAGCAACCAGTCATTTAAAAAAAATTTTAATGCCACTTTCGGACTTCTGGCAGCGGTCTTTCATGAAACAGTGACGTTTTCTTTTCTACACGAAGAGATATATAGTTCGGTCATGACGGTGGAAGAGATATATACTTCAGTCATGACGGTGGAAGAGATATATACTTCAGTCATGACGGTGGAAGAGATATATACTTCGGTCATGACGGTGATGTCTATTATTATTACTATTCTGCGTAAAATGATTTGTATTATGAACGTGAATAAGTCATAATTGAGAGAGCAAGTTGTCTTTGTGCGACTTTTGAGCAAGCAAAACTTTTAACATATATTTATTGTAGTCACTGCCACCTTCGTTTTCATTTCGACTACTCACTGTAAGAATGTCATACGTCACTTTTCAAAATGAAAAATGACCGAGTTACGTCTGCTAAATTTGAGCATCTTCTAAATTTTCAACGCCTTTTTTCTCAAAATAAATGGGTTTTTTCCAAAAATGACTATGATAACCAAACATTATACCAATGGCATAAGGTAGTCAATATAAAAAAACAGTCACAACCACCTCACTTCCCGCCTCCCTCTCCAATCCCCCAAGTTTGAGCCAGCAGTCAAACAGAATGCCTCAACCCCCCCCCCCCCTCCCCCTCCCCCTCAACCAATCTGTAATGCCTTTCTGTCTGATCACCACAAACTCCCCGTCATCAGTGAGATAAGACCGCCGAGACGTCCAAGCCAATAACATCAATACATTGGAGCTGCCAACTGGCTATGAAAAAAAATTCTCAATTTTATGGACCCAATGGAAATGCACGTACGAGGACTAAAATCTCCAAAGTTACAGGTAATGTTGTCAAATACAGCTTGTGTCAAAACTATCTTCATGTAGATTGCAATAATATGACAAGCATTATATCAGAAATCTGGATTCCAAAATTATCCTGAAAATCTACACCTCCGATACATGAAAAAGAACTGACAAACCCACAGGGGGAAAAAAGCATCAAGAAAAGATTGCCCTAACATTCTCAACATCAGGTCTGTGAAAAAGAAAACAAAAAAAGGGAAGAAAATAAAAAGACTATTAAACACATCATCAGGATGGCACAAAATGGCGAGAAAACAGGCCATTTGACTAGTTCTGCGGTGTCCAGAGGTAGCTCAGCTGTACAAGATGGAATGAACGAACACAAAGAATTCTGGACTGACTACTATAATCTTTGGCTTCCCAAAACGGCATTGGTTAACAACAACAACAACAGCAACAGCAACAGACATTCTCAAAAGATATCAATGACGCTTGTCGAAACTAACAGACAATGCTGCTAAAAAGTACTTTTGTGCTATTCCAACTTGCATTACAATATGCATGAATAAGCGTTTGATAAGGAAAATACTGCTACTTGAATTGAAAGAAGGATGAAGAGAGAAAAAAAAAATATTCAAAAAGCATTCATAATCTCATTGATATGTAGTTCAAAGTCATTGATATTGTCATAAGGCTAATATGTAAATTTTTTAAAAAGAATACAAAAAAAACGCTGAAAGTCTCCCATTCAAAGTAAAAGTTCCACTAAAAAAACTGGAAAGTCTCCCATTTCTGGAACAAAAATAGAGTAAAAAATAATCAAACTGGAACATTTTCACATAAACACAAACAGGAAAAAACTTTGCAACTCTTTCCCATCTTTCTACTCAATACTTACAAGAAACATTTGGCAAAATTAAATGCAAATGGTCATAGTGACCTTTGCAACAACTCTTTGTTTCATTCTGAAATATTCTCAGAATCCAAAGTCTTATCATTTATAAAAACTAAATATTAAGCCAGAGCATGAAGACTTCTAGATCTATTATGACTTTTTCATTATCTGTCGTCACTGACAAAAAATGTTTTTCACTAAGAGTAAAGCGTTTGTATTAAACATTATCTCATTTTATCGACTTATTTCAATACAATAATATTACAAAATATACCAAACAAACATGAGTAAAAAAAATTTTACAGCTTGAAAGTCTGCACAAAAAACAAAATTCAACTGTACCACTCAGAATAAAAAGAACACAGGCCATTGAAAGTGTTTTTCAAATTTATATCTCCATTACTTCTTTCTCACTTTTGTTCTCCTATTTTTTTCAACTCAACAGCTCTCCTCGGAACGTATTTACAGCGGTTTCATGGCAACCCCATCCCCATGGTCGCTTCCCTTGGCACCTCGGCAGATACAACGTAGCTCATCTACCAGTGTGTCGTAGCGGTATGCGACGCGAATGTCTGGCACGTTGGTACGGCTCACGTCATTGCCTCCGATTCCCTCGTTGACATAGTTGGGGCCCAGCCAGTGTTTTTTCACCTGAGGAGGGGAGAGAGAGAGAGAGAGAGAGAGATAGTTCTGGAGGACATGATAGATGAATAGTTTCGGAGGAGAGGAGAGATAATTAATGGAAGACATGAAGGATGGAAGGGTCGGAAGAGAGGATCAATGGACAGTTCTGGAAGAGAGCATGGATGGATAGTACTGGAAGATGGGATACATGGAAGGTTCTGCAAGAGATTGTAGGTGGATAGTTAGTTCCAGAAGAGAGGGCAGACAGATAGTTCCTGGAGATAAGATAGTTCTGGAAGACAGGATTGTTGGATGACCTATTTATTTTTTCTGTTGGATGACCTATTTATTTTTGTAAACATTCGATTTCACCAGGATGTCCCACACAAACGTACCTCGTGGGGGAAGCCACTCTGCAGCACGCTGTTACGGGCGATCTCACACATGTCGCAGGTGGAGAACTTCCACACCTGGGCTGCGATGCTGTACTCCTCCATCAGCGGCTCCTGGAACACACAAACAGTTAGTGCGGGTGAGTGTTAATTTTTGTTTCTTCATGTAGATGTTTTTATACCCCCCATCAACACAGAAATTGATGTAAAGAAAAGTTGGAACAATGGAATAGCATCAAGAGGCTAGACCAGGATAGAGAAAGGTGGAAAGTGTTTGTTCATGGTCTGGTGCAGGGTGAGAAAGACAATGATGATAGACACATTTTAGATCATTCAGGAGGTGGTCTTCCAACCCTGTCTGTCCACCCACGCCAACCCAGGCTGAGAGGGAGAAAGACCAAGATACTAGACAAAATTTTTTCCCCACTTGGGAATAAAAAACTCAGGTCTTCCGCATGCAAAAGCGAAGTGCCTAACCGCCACACCAAAGATGATAGTTGGTTGATAATTAACAATAAGTGCTGAAACATATTGCTTTCATTGGAAAAATAAAAGGCAAAAGATGCAGAGAAATGAGAGAGTAGTGAAGTAGGGTGGTGTTTTCCGTTCAGACAAAGAAAAACCCTGATCATCTTCCATATCTTCCCAAGCACCTCTTCCACTTCCTGCCCCTCCTCCACATCTTCTTCTTCTTTATCTTTTTCTCCTTCTTCCCCCTGTTCTTTTCTAATTCCTCCTTTTTCATCATCTTTTCTTCTCATTCCTCTTCTTCTTGTTTCTTTTCTTCTTCACTTCTTCACCTTCTTCTCCTTTTCCATCTTTTTCTCTTCTTTTTTTTCAGACATCGGCGATCATGGTTTGCCACTCATTTCTCTGCTCAGACACAAAACAAGCATCACATCTATCATCTTGCCACCAAGATCAAGGACACCTGCCACTGACCTTTGTGAAGTGGAACTGCAGCGGGTCGTCAGTGGAGAGGGATACGTTGAGGCCTCGGCTAAAGTACTCGGGCAGCGGGTTACGGTGGTAGTTGAGGAACAGGGAGTTGTTGGACAAGGGAGACATCGCGATCCCGATGTGGGACAGGTAGAACAGGTACTGTAGGACTGGCACCTGAAGAAGATGTGGGGAGGGGATGGGGA